TACCTGTGATGTGTGGGGAGGAAGAGTGGGAGTCCTTCCAGCTGTCCTTCTTGCCTAAAGAGTTGTTGTTGATGGAGTCCTGGACAGAGTTAAAAGAGACACAACAGCAGTGTAAGAACAACAACTACCACACAAACACACACTCACAGACACACACGCATTTATATGTTGTGTTAGCGGTTGGTTTGTGTCTCATTGTGATCATTTTGCATGTCTTTCTGGTCATTTTGTGTCTCTTTGTGGTTGTTTTGGCTCTATTTGGGGTTTATTGTGTGTCTTTGTGGTTTTTCTTGTCTCTTTGTGGTTGTTTTGTGTCTCTTTGTGGCCATCTTGTGTCTTTTTGTGACCATTTTGTGTCACTCAGCACACAGGGTGGAGTCCTGTTGGCATCACATCAGACTAAACCCCCTCGCTGCCTTACAGTCGCTCCTTTAGACATAACCAAGCCTCATCCTAACACCACCCAGCCTGAGCCCTCCCTGCGCCTCCGTCTCGCTCTGATGACATCACTGCCAGGAAGAGGCAGGAGCATCGACCAGGAAGTGAGCAGTCAGCCGCGACGTCACGCGAGCCGGGCAGAGCTGCTGACTCACGCTGACATCCCATCGTGCAGCCGCCCTCCCTGTCGCACACCCTGTTCGGTTGCCATGGCTACAGTGTGTGTGTGAGTGTGTGTGTGTGAGTGTGTGAATCAAAGCCTCTCTGTCTGGATGAAGCACATCCCTGTTTCTGATGGCTGAGCTGCAGTGGAGGATAAGAACTGAGCCTCCAAAGCTCTGCTGTCACGACTCCGTTCACACTCATGTCAGACAGAGGATGCTAATGATTCACCGTTAAGCCAGTAATTAGTGGTTATATTTTATCTGATTTAAAATATATGAACCAATCAGGCAAGAGACGAGGGACATGCGTGCTGCTGTAGTACCTGGTTGCTCCACCAGGTGGAGTTACAGGTGTGTTTGTTGACCGCCGGTAACGTTGGTGTTGTTGTTTTCAGGCTAGCGTTGTACTTTTGTATACATTGTCGAGTGTGTTATGTGTGCGACAAAAACACAAACCCCTTCACACACTACAACAACTACCTTTGTAGTCGCCAAAATGTTGTTTTGCAATCATGTGTGTAGTTGTTTCATCTCTTTGTGCTCATTTAGTGGCTCGTCGTGGTGGTTTTGTGGCTGTTTGTCATTATTCTGTGTGTCTTTCTGGTCTTTTTGTCTATTTGTAGTTGATTTGTGTCTCTAAGCAATTATTTTGTATGTCTTTATGGTTAATTTGTGTGTTTTTGTGGTTATTTTGTGTCTTTTTGTGGTTGTTTTGTGCGTCTTTGTGGTCACCTTTTTTGTCTATATCTAGTCATTTTGTGTCTCTTTGTGGTTGTTTTGTCTCTGTAGTTTTTTGTGTGTCTTTGTGGTCACCTTTTATGTTTATATGTAGTCATTTTGTGTCTCTTTGTGTTTATTTTGTCCCTTCAATGGTTCATGTCTTTGTGTGGTGGTTTTTATGTCACTCAGCGATTGTTTTGTGTGTCTTTGTTTTTGTTGCTTTATGTCTCTTTGTGGATGTTTTGTGTGTTTTTGTGAGGATTTTGTGTCTCCTTGTGGTCACTCTTTATCTAGAAGTGGTTGTTTTATGTCTGTTTTGTGTTTGTTGCTGTTTAGTCTCTTTTTGTCAACATTTTGTGGTAATCTTGTATCTCTTTGTGGCTGTTTTGTGTCACTTCGTGGTCATTTTGTGTCTATTTTTGTCATCATGTTGTGTTTCTTAGTGGTCATTACCTTTGTTGTCGCCAGAATTTTCTTTTGCAATTATATGTGTAGTGGTTTAGTGTGTCTTTGTGCTAATTTTGGAGCGCTTATTGGTGGTTTTGTGGCTGTTTATCATTATTGTGTGTCTTTATGGTGTTTTTGTGTCGATTTGTGTCTCTTAGCAAATATTTTGTGTCTCTTTGTGGTTGTTTTGTCTCTATAGATTTTTTGTGTGTCTTTGTGGTCCCTTATTATGTCTATATGTAGTCATTTTGTGTGTTTTTGTGGTGTTTTTGTCATCATTTTGTGTTTCCTTGGGGTCAGTCTTTATCTTTATTTTGTGTCTGTTTTGTGTTTGTTGTTGTTTAGTCTCTTTTTGTGTATCTTACTGGTCATTCTGTGGTTGTCTAGTATCTCTTTGTGGCTGTTTTGTGCCACTTCGGGGTCATTTATGATCTATTTTTGTCATCATGTTGTGTCTCTTTGTGGCTGTTTTGTGTTTGCTGTTGTTTAGTCCCTTTTTGTAAACATTTTGTGTATCCCACTGGTCATTTTGTGGGAATCTTGTATCTCTTTGTCGGCCTTTTTGTGCCACTTCGGGGTCATTTATGATGTATTTTTGTCATCATGTTGTGTCTCTTTGTGGCTGTTTTTTGTGCGTCTGCATTGTTTTGTGTCACGTTTTACATCTCCGTGCTGTCATATATGTTTGCTCAGCAGAAAACAAACCCAGCAGCATTTACAAGCAGCTCCATAAAGACTCCACACTGCTGCTGCTGAGCGTCTTTAACCTTTACAGTCAGTCTCCAGGAATCCTGTGAACACAAGAGCATCTACAGCTGACCTGGACTCTGATGTTTCAGTGTTAATTGTGGCGCCTTGATTTAGTTTTTGACAAATTTAAGTCATTTAATTCCTGTTGGTTTTGGTCAAACAAAAACTGAACGAGACTAAAGCGTGTCCGTGATGAATCCAGCGATTAGTCGCGTCCGCGCTGCAGACTCCTCCCATTCAAAATGAACTTTAATGACAGCGCACAGACACAACAGATCGATGCAGCAGCTCCTCATGATGCTGAATCGACGGCGTCCTGTCTCTGTTAGCGGCAGCATGAGGCTGCACTCAGCCGCTCCATTATTTATCACCACCAGAGGAACTGGGTTGGAGAGGTTCCCTCCCTGAGCTCCAGTGTGTCTCCTCATCTTCCTCCTCCTCATCCTCCTCCTCCTCCTCCTCAGCACCATGACCAACAAACTCACATGCTGCTCCTCAACATGGCCGCTCTGTCTGAAGCCACAGCCGGCCTTGTGTGTCTGTCGGTGGCTGCTTTGTGTTTATTTGGGTGAAATTATTGGATTGTTTGTGGTCATTTTGTGTCTTTGTGGTTGTTTTGTGTGTCTTTCTGCTCAAATGGTTTCTCTTTGTGGCTGTTTTGTGTCTCTGGTCATTTTCTGTGTCTTTATAGTCATATTCTCTTTCTTTGTGGTCATTTTGTGTCTCTTTGCAGTTTATTTGTGTCTCTTCGTGGTTATATTGTGTCTGTTTGTGGTCATTTTGTGTCTCTTTGCAGTCTTTTAAGCCCCTTTGTGGTTGTTTTTGCATCTCTTTGTATTCATTTTGTTCTGTTGTGTCTCTTTGTGGTTGTTTTGTGTCTTGTTGCAGTCATGTTATGTCTCTTTGTGGGGTTTTTTTTGTTTCTTTGTGGTTGTTTTTGCATCTCTTTGTGGTCATTTTGTGTCTGTTTTTGACTCTTTTGCATCTATGTTGTTGTTTTGTATCACTTTGTGGCAATGTTGAGTCATTTAGTGTCTGTTTGTAGTTCTGTTGTGTCTCTTTGCTGTTGTTTTGTGTCTTTTTGCAGTCATGTTTTGAGTCTTTGTGGTTGTTTTTTGTCTCTTTGTGGTAATTTTCTTTTTTTGTGGTTGTTTTGTGTCTCGTAGTGGTTATAATGTGTCTTCTTGTGTCCCTTTGTTGCGATCATGGTTCTGTTTTTGTCTCCTTGCAGTTGTTTTGTATCTTTTGTGGATATATTTGTGTCTCGTTTTTGTTTTTTGTTTTTTTTGTGTCCTTTTCGTTACTTGTGCCTCTTTGTAAAAGTTTTGTGTGTGTTTGTGGTTGTTTTTGTGTCTCTTTTTTGGTTTTTAGTGTCTCTGTTTAGTTCGCTGTCCGTCTTTGTAGATGTTTTGCATCTCCTCGTAGTTGTTTTGTGTCTTTTGTGGATATATTTGTGTCTCGTTTTTGTTTTTTTGTGTCCTTTTCGTTACTCGTGCCTCTTTGTAAAAGTTTTGTGTCTATTTGCAGTTGTTTTGTGTCTCTTTTTGGATATTTTTGTGTCTCTTTTTTGTTTTTCGTGTCTCTGTTTAGTTCGCTGTCCCTCTTTGTAAACGTCTTGTGTCTCCTCGTAGTTGTTTTGCGTCTCTTTGCAGTCGAACACGTTTGTCGAACACACCAGCCACACACGGCGACACACCTGAGCAGCTCCTGGACACACGCTGACTTCAGGAGTCAGAATTAGCGGATTAGTTCGGAGGCGACCGCAGTCAGAATGGAGCTGACAGTCGAACGTTGGGGGCTCATCAGACTAATCCAGGTCCTGTGGGGAGTCCAGCTGGCCACCAGAGCAGCCAATCACAGGGCTCCACATCACACAGCAGCTTCCATCGACGCGTGTTACGTGATTGATGCCAGCAGGACGCGATCGATGCGACATGCAGGCGTAGCTGTGGCCTCATATGTGGACTTGTTCCTGTGTGCAGCGGGTCAGGACTGGACACATTAGTCTCCTTGTGTTCAGCAGAAACTGCTTCCACAGTGTAACTCTAGTCAGACGCACTCACTGAGGACGTTTCACTGTCACACTGTTCCAGAACACACTAAAGATCAGCTTCACACCCGGCACAACACAACAAGCAGACACACAACGGTTCAACCGGAGACGACCGCCATAAGATGTCAAACAGAACTCCTGTAGCCCTTAATTGGTCGTGTTGTGTCTATTTTTGGCTGTTTTGTGTCACTTTTGTGGTCATATTGTGTCTCTCTGTGGACATTCTCTGCCCTCTTGTTATTTTCTTGTGTCTCTGTTGTTGTTCAAGTCTCTTTGTCATCATTTTGTGTCTTTTTGTGGACATTTTTGGTCTCTTAATGGTCATTTTGTGTCTATTTTTGGCTGTTTTGTGTTACTTAGTGGTCACTCTTTACCTTCTTGTTGCTTTTTTGTGCCTCTGTCACTGTTTTGTGTGTCTTTCTTGACATTTTCTGTGTCCATCATTACTTTGTAGGTCTTGGTGGAGATTGTTTTTGTCTGTCAGAGGTCGTGTTGCGTCTGTTTTGTGCCTTTTTGTGGTCATGTTGTGTGGTGGTTGGTTTGTGTCTCATTTTCTATCTTCTTTTGTTTTCATGCCTCTGTCATTGGTTTGTGTCTATTTGTGGACATTTTGTGTTTTCTTTTTGTTTTTGGTATCTATTTGTCATCATTTTGTGTCTGTTTGTGGATGTTTTTTGCCCCTTCTTGGTGATGTTTTGTGTCTCTGTGGACATTTTCTGTCTTCTCTTGGTCTGTTATGTCTCCGTCATTGTCTTGTGTCTTTTTGTGGTCACTTCGTGTTTCTTTGTCAACATCTTTTATCTGTTTGTGGACATTTTCTGTCCTCTCATTGTTTCCTATGTCTCCGTCATCGTCTTTTTGTGCTCATTTTGTGTCTGTTTGTGGTCATTTTGTGTGTCTTAACGGTCATTTTGTGTCTCGTTGTAAACACTTCGTGTCTCTTTGTGCCCATCTTGTGTCTCCCTGTTGTTTTTTGTGGCTCTTTGTGGCCATTTTCTGCCTAATTGTCGTCACTTTGTGTCTCTATTTTGTGGTTTTGTGCTCTTTGTGCTTACTTTGTGTCTCCTTATTAGTTTTTCTGCACATTGTGATCCTTCATAGTGGTCGTGTTGCACCTTTTTGAGGTTGTTTTGTGTGTCCATGTTGGGTTTTTATGTATTTTGTTGTCCTTTTGTGTCTCTTTGTGATTATTTTCTGTCTCTCTGCAGTCATATTACGTCTTTGCATCACTGAACAAATACAAAAAGAGAAATAAAACAAACAAAGAGACACAAAACAACCAATATTCTCTCCCATTAAACAGAATAATTAGTGTCGTGTATTTCTGAGGAGTTCTTCCAGTGTAGGTGTGCAGGTTCATCGATCACACACCACAACGTCTTTGAAGCAGGATAACGGCGAGTGTGTGCAGCAGCTCTGTGCCTTTAATCCACTGAGAGCCGCTTCCAGCTCGTCTCAGTGCTGCCGTATTAAAGGCAGCAGGTTTCTCTGCACTAAGCTCATGCTCAGACCGAACCGGAGGCACATTAACCTTCTACACGTTGCTGTCAGCACATCGGCCTCCTGCATCACATCACAGATCACTGACTGCTGAACGGCCTGTTAATGAGGACAGCTTCACTTTAATGTACACACACAGAGGCTGGAGTCGTGGATTTGTAGATGCAGGTGAGGCTGAAGTGACTCTGCTGATATGAAGTGACCCAGTAAACAGGATGCAGTTCATTTAAAGGGACACACCAAGACACTGCTGCCTCCACAGAGCACTCATTACTGAGCTCTGCCTGAGGGGACGTGGACCGTTACGTCACTGCTATCACTGTGTGTGCACATCCACAAACACAATCCACTGAACACAGGCCTGAGAAGGCTTTACAGGACGCCTTTTTGTGGTTGTCATGTCTCTATGTGGTCATTTTACATCTCCATGGACACCACAGACCGTAACGTTAGTAAAATACTGTTGTTGTGGGCTGTTGGGAGTCATAACAGCTTCTAAATGATGAATTATATGACAAGGAATTATTGTTATATGCAGTTTTTTCTATTGCTTTTTAAAAAATGTTCTTTTGTTATGTCTTATTGTCACTTTGCATTTCACTGCACACACTGTATGCACATGTGACAAATAAAAACTCCTATACTAATGTAATGAATTCATTTGGTTTAATATGTTATTAAATTATTATTTTGGGGAATCTTGCATTTCCATATGTGTTTCCTAAAGGATTAATTCTTCTATTCTATAAATAATACACAGAGAATATTTTAACAAGCTGCAAAACCTTAATTTTATTATTATTTTTTTATTAATAACTGTTACACAAAATCTAAAAAAAATTACTGCAGCTTTCTTCCACTTGTACCAGAGCTACTTAAAGTTTTAAATTAATCATGAATGAAATGCATTTAAATATTTGATGTAAAGGCAATTTAATCACATAAACTCACATCAAGTAAAAAGCTGTGCTGCTAAGTTAGCATTTAGTCAGTTAGCTTTTGTAAGGACTGTTTGGTTGCTTTACAAAACAATTTTAGATTTGGCTTTTCTCTTATTCATGTGGATAAAACAGATCCTTAGATACTGAAGCCTAAACCATAACCTTAAAGGAATGTACTCACTGCAATAAGCTAGTTAGCTTTTAGCTAGAAGAACAAGTTTTGTTAATTTACTTTTAACGACATTGTTTGTGATTTAGCTTTTGACTTATTTATGTGGTTTAGCAAACAGTGACAATCTAACAAAAGGCAAATCTTAAATTATACAAACAAAGAAACAAAACAAGCTCTTCTGAAAGCTAGCTAGCCTAGCTTAGTCCTTACGACTGACAAGATATTAGCAAAAACTAATTTATTCACGTTCCCATATTTTTAAATAATCCAAAAATTTACTTTGATGCTTCAATATATGTACAAATGTGTTTGTTAAAGCACAAAAATAAAACAAAAACTATTACAATATACTGTAGAAAGAAAATATTAGCTAAAGAAAAAATAGCAATACCTAATTTACCATCATTTTGTGTTACGTAGAATCTGAAAATCTGTTTTGAAGCTCCAAAATACCAGTAACTGTGTTTGTTAAAGCATGTATAAGAAAAAAAAGTTTATTTTATAGCTGTATTGTACAAAGGAATTTTAAAAAAAATAGTCCTTCTGAAAGCTAATTAGCATAAACTGGTGCTTGCAGCTAACATGGTATTACCTAAAGAAGGATTAGCAAAACATATTTTCCACCATTTTTGTATTTTATAGATGCTCCAAAATCTGAGTAATTGTGTTTGTTCAAGCACATAAATAAGACAAAAGCTACATTTTGAATTGTGCCGGAGAAAAGAAAATGACAAAGCTAATCCTTATGAAAGCTAGCATCGTAGCAATGTAGCCTCTGACTCAAGGGGATTTCATGGGATTTCGTGTACTTAAACTGCATTTAAATCACATTTTAATGTACTTCATTCATGATTAGTTTATTAAAATAGCCTCTTTTGATAAATAAACAACAGAGCTGAAGAAGAAACACAGGAAAAGAGGCTAAACTGGGTTTAGCTTAATCATTCTCATAGCTTTAGCTCGCTTTTAGGCCTAGATCCCGTTACTTCTCTTTCTTAAATATAATTTTGAACACAGCTTTATCTTATTTGTGGGGTTGCACAAACTGTGACAAAACCACAAATGCTAAACATTAAATTCTGCTTCTGAAAGAAACAAAACTAGTCCTTTTGAAAGCTAGCAAGACTAGCTTAGTGCTTCTGGCTGATAAGATATTAACTAAAGAGGGATTAGCAACACCTAATTGATGTGTGCTTTTTTTGTTTTAAAGAAGCTAAAAGCAAATTATAAAGACAAAAGTTAAATCTTAAATTGTTCAGTAGAATGAAGGGTGACAAAACTACTGCGCCTGAAAGCTCAAAACTAGCATTTTAGCACTGATTCTGGTGGATTTCATGTGGTTTTGTTTGATTAAGCTGCTTTTAAATTGCATATTTCCATGGATTTGATTCATGATTCATTTATTAAATTAGCTTCTTGGCACAAATGGATGACTGAGCTGAAAATGAAACCAGAACACGGGAGGAAAAAAATGGGTTTAGCCTCTGTCTTCTAGTTTATTTCACAATGTATGCTGTTTATCTGTAATAAAATACAGATTTCTATGGTGTAACACTGTGATTTTGGAAGGCAGGACTTGTAAAATCTTATTCTAGTCTGTACAAAATGTGTAGTCGTGTATCTGCTCCGGCTTTGTAGGTCAGTACAGCAGACCTACATTAAACATACTTGGATATATTTCACAAGATGGCAGAGCGGCTCCGATTTAAACAGCAGAATCAGGGTCAATCCCTTCAACAGCCTGTCCAAGTGTCCTTGAGCAAGTCACTTAACCCCGAGCTGCTCTTGTGCCGCCGCCGCCGCCGCCAGCAGCCACACGATCCAGGATTGATTTATGAATATTGACCATCTAAAAATAGGTGTTTGCTGAGAAACCTGCCAGAACCAACGGGACGGTGTTTACTGGAGCTGCAGCATTTCCAGATCTGACCCGGTGCCAGCACACAAACACACACACACACACCCAGCGCTGAACACACAACCAGCCAGCGCTGCCTCATCCTGAATCCTCCCAGGAAACACACAACACACACACACACACACACATACGGTAACCCAGTTATTCATCCACTGCTGCCTCCCAGCATCCTCCCCGGACCTCGAAGGGCCACGGGGGTGAGCCAGCCTCCCTACCTGGGTGCCGGCTTGTGGCAGCTGTGGGAACAGAGCCAGGGTGGTGGGTCTCTTTGGTCGATATTTATCCATGACAGCTCAGGTTGATGCCCCTCTGACAGGCGACAGCTTCCTCCCTCCTCCTCCTCCTCCTCC